ATTAAGAGATTTAGAATTTTGCAATATTAACTACAGTTTTGCTGTCTGATGTGGAATTAAGTATGAAAAATTCCCTCACTGTACCCTCATTTCCATTATGTGGAGAGTAGAATGTTACAGATGTAAAGTTTGTCTCTGAGGGTTTCCAGGCTTTTCTCACTATTGTGTGCATGCATCTGGAGAGTGAGTGCCTCCCCTTTATCAAGTTTGTGATTCTGGAAAACTGTGTGCTAAAAAGAAATTAGTTCCTGATCTTTATTTCATTTGTCTTGACTTTATTTGATTTATAAGGTTTAGGAACTGCTTACTGTTCAGTATTTCTTATTTCACCCTGCTTTGTTGAATTATCCAAGTTCCCTATCTCTTGAATTTTTAAATGTTAATTAAGGTGATTTAGAATGTGAATCACGTATTTTAAATGATAAATTTTGCCTTTCACTTTATGCCATCCCAAAGTTGTGATTACTTTCTCCAATCTATTTTAGAGAGGGTAATCATCTCAATATTAGCAATGAAGAGAGGAATATTTATCTGTCACTTTTTCTGTCTTAATGAAAATGGTAAATTCTTAATTTCTTATTTCCATGTTCTATGTAGACGTGGTTCCTTAGCATTTGGTGCAACACAGAATGCTCCCCACAGTTAAAATTGTGCAATGCCCTAAAATAAATTTGATGGAATGTAGTGTGACTTTTGAGCTTAGATTTATTTTATTATTTTTTGTTCAAAAACATTAAAGATAAGATGCAGAAATACATCATGAGCTTGCGAAATTTTCCTAGAGTTTTGTTAAAGAGTTAGGAGCAACTTCTATAGTAGTAAAAAAACTTGAGTTAGCCATGTGTTCCTGAAACTACTGTATAGTATTTCTACAAATCAGGATGAAGTGGTCAACTGGCCTATAACTTTTTAAGAGGTTATTTTAGAGAATTATGAAGATTGATGAAAAATATGATTTTTCCAGAAATAAAAACAAAATTACTTTATCCACACTGTTTTTTCCCTGCCCCCCAGGAGAGCCGTGAAGTAGAGGCTGAACTACCTGTTCTATCACTTAAGACTTATAGCATTCCTGACTTTCAAACAAAGAAATTTCTATTGCCACTAGTTTAAAATAGAAAAGAAACTTGGAGTGACGAAAGAAAAACCCAGGATTTGGTCTAGTTCAAACTCTTTCTTATGAATTAGTTATTCAAATTCATATTGTTGATATTTCTTAAAATTATGATAATGAACTTTTTTGCCATATTACACCAAATGTCGAGGATATGAATTTTTTTTTGTACTGAATTTGTGCTTGCTTCTTTAGGATATAGGTAAAGTATTTTCCATTCTAGGAAGTAAACTCTCAAAAAATATTAATAGCACAACTTTAAAAAAATAAACCAATAAACCTGTTCCTTTCCACTCAAATATTTAATGATTTTAAAACACGTTTTTTTCTTTGAAGTGTTCAGTTATAAATCACACGAGTTTAAAATAGTTCTCTTAGAAAACCTGCATTAGTATTTATGAAGACAAGCATTCTAAATTTGTTGTTAAAGCTTTTATAAAAGGTAGGTAGAAATATGAAGTTAAATGTTGAATTGGAGCACTGTTTTAATGTTATGCTTATTGTGAAATAATTTTTTCACAGTGCCTGATAAAGAATTTAAAAATTAGCCTTCCTGTATCTTTATATATGAACAAATTGGTACGATTCTTAAATGGTTATTTGAGGTGTGCAATGGAAACGAATTTTAAGGATTAATGAACACTTCATTGAAGACTTTAAGAAGTAGAAAACATTGTTTTGCATTAGTGAACTTAGTTACTGGGTTCTGGGAAGGATACAGAAGTATATAGTACATGATTTCTGCCCTTCAAGATCTTAAAATATTGGGGAGTTAAATCTAGCACGTGAAATATCAAATAATGCAAAATCTGTGATAGTATATATTAAACCTTTCTGACTGGAAGAATCAAAGGCTTACAGAAAGTAAACTTACCCCAAAGGATTATTAGGAACCATATGGGAAGAGCATTTATAAACAGGGAAATATCCTGAGTAAAGGCCTGTGAACAGGGAAAGACACATCTGCAAGTGTGTGTGCATACACAATTTTTGAGAGTGAGATAAAATCACGTGGACTATGATGCAGAATTCCTCTAGAGAAATAACAGGAGGTAAGATCGGAAAATGTGATTGGGTCCAAATTATGGTGGTTCTCGAATTCTAGGGAAGGATTTTGGCCTTTGGACTAAACATTTCTGAATAAGGGACACTCAGTGAACAAAGTTATATATAGGAAGAGAAACTTCAAAGTTGGATGAATGATGAACTGGAGGATTGAGAGACTTGAAGCAGTGTGATCTGCTGAGGCTGTTTCAGTGGGACAGTCATATCTGTGTAGATGCAATGGACTTTACATTAACTGACTGCTTTCCATATGCCCAGTGCTGTGAAGAAAAAATATATATATGATTACCAGACTTAATAACTAGCTAGTTACAGGTGGAGGAATCCAAGCCTTTGTGGTGTTGTGTGGGGAACTGGGAGAACTATGGTACATCTGAAGGAACTGGAAAGTTAGGGAGAAGAGCCAGATCTACTAGGAGGTTAATGATTTCTGTTCCAGACTTTTGAGGTTTGAAGTAACAATGAAATGACAGAGTAAAAATGTAGAAAAATATGTCTATTACCTTGATTGTGGTGATGGTTTCACTGGTGTATAAATATGCCCAAATTCATCAAATTGTATCCATTAAATATATACATTTTCTGTATATCAATATGCCTCAATTAAGCTGTTTTTTTTTTAAGTTTCAACAAATACTTGAAAATATAGATCTGGAGCTTTAGTCATTCATCAGACATTTATTAAGCATTTACTGTATGCCAGTCTCTTTACTTGAAACTGAAGGATGGGAGCCACCAAAGAGGGAGAGGGTTGTAATGCCAGTGACAAATGTGGAAGTGAGGGCCCTCATGAGACAGGAAGCATAGATGGAGGATTAGCTTGTAAGTAAAGGAACAGTGACTTTAAGATGCATGGGAGGATGAGAAAATGTGTCAGGATCCAGAGGGAGTTAACTTAGGGGAATTCTTTAACTCTTTAATGCTCATGATGAAATCTAAATTTGAGAAGAAATTCAGTTTGGTGCCAGAATCTAGTATGTGGATTTCTAAACTTACATCTTCCGAAGGGGCCAATCAGTTTTGCAATTTGAGGTGGAAAGAAGTGGAAAGCATTGCCTTGCATTGAGAAACCAAACCATTGTCCTCATTGGTAAGTGGTTGATACAGAGATGTTGAATATGCTAATGAAAATGGCAGAAGACCAGCTGGAACAGAATAGTCTAAGAAAGTTGTCAGCTGGGAGAGTTGGAAATAGTTGGAAGGTATGAAGTTAGGGGACTAGGGACTTTAGGAAGAGTAAACAGTAATTGGGCATGGTAGGACATGTTCCTTGAACACTAATGAAGGTCTGGAAATAGCACTTAACAACAAAGGTCCGTCATGAACCTACCTTGCTTGAGTGTTCGAAAATGAGAGAATATAATTTAACTGG